AAAAAGGATGACCTTAAATAATTCAGGCAATCATGCAAGTTAAGCACACATGTGTATTTCACCCAACCTATTCTACATTCAAATGGTCCCTCCATGCACTAAGTAGGGCCACATGTATTGAAATAGTGGCCCTCAACCACGACAGGCATTCTTGACATCTGCATGGTCATACAGCTACAGTACAAGAAAGTCCTTTGGAACATGTGGGAGCTCAAAGGTAGAACCTGTTTTGCAACTCATTAAAGTAGTCACATCTTTTTCCTCATCTGCTTCAAGGGTCCCTGGAAACAGACAGAGGTGCTTTATAAATGGATTCCTGCATTGGACAGGGAATTGTACTAGATGATTTTATTTATTTATTTATTTATTTATTTTTCAAATTTGTCACCGCCCATCTCACTGTGGAGTGATCTCCAAGACACCTTCCAACCTTATATTCTGTAGTTCTATGGTTCTTCCAATTTGAATTCTTTGTGCACTGTGCAGATTTAAGGTCCATGTGAATCATCCAACTGTAATTTTGCATCATCATCAACATTAATTTAACATTTAACAATGACAGCACACTTAGTATCTGTGTGAATGCTACACATCACACACTGCCATTTTGCACATGGCAGCGATATTCAGAGATACATTAGAATAGGAACATGGAGAATATAAGATGGAAATCAAGAGACCAACTCACTGCAGATGGATTTAGTTTTCAATGGTTTTTGTATGCAGAGTTAAGAAAAAGATTTGAAGTACAGTAGATAATAGGACATTTGGAATTGAACAGAAGACAGAATTTGAAGCTGAACTATGTACAAATGATGAACATATAACTGCTAAAATGTATAAACTTTTATTGCCATTTGAAACGGAAAAAGAATAAGTGAAAAACTGTATGATAAAATGGGCTAAGAACTATTAACATAAAATACTGATGGAACAGTGGGAAAATATGTGGTTAAAAGGACTGAAATTTACATTATACTATAACTTAAAAGAGAATGTTTGTAAAATGATATACTATTGGTATATGACTCCAGAAAAATTGTCTAAAATGTGTAAAGGTATTTCAAATTTATGTTGGAAATGTGGACAACATGAAGACTCATTTTATCATGCCTGGTGGACTTGTAAAAAAGCCAGACATTTTTGGGTTCAAATATATACAGGTAGTACTCAACTTACGACCACAATTGGGACCAGAATTTCCATTGCTAAGCGATGAGATCATAAAGCTATTATATTTATATACATTATAATATTTATTTATTTATTTATTTATTTATTTATTTATTTATAAAGATATAAAGGTATCACCTGACTGCATCGCTTAGCGATGGCAATCCTGGCACTCCCTGTTGCAGTCATTAAGTGAACTCTGCTGGTCATTACCCGAGGACCCACCCCAATCCAAGGTGTTCCAGGCTTGGTCTCTCCCAGCCCCAAGTCTCAGTAAGGTAAGGGACTGCCTCCAACATTCCCCAACTGCCTATCTCTCCCCCATCTCTGATGGCCCCCATTTTGGCCGCCCTGCATCCTGTCTTGCAGGGTGGCAAGCAGCCCCAGAACTGCTGAGACTCTGGGACTGCTTGCCATGCCCCGGGAAGCCATAGTCGCTCTCACAACCCTGCACTCTGAGACCCCTGCTGCCCTGAGCTCCACCACCCCAGCTGACCTTCACCGTCTTCTTGCTCCCGCTGCTGAGGTGTGCCCAACCTGGCTGCTGGGCTGGGCTGGGCTGGGGCTAGGCTTTGCACTGCACTGCAGCTCTGGGGCTGCTTTTTGCAGCCTCAAAGCTGCAGTGTGACAAAAAGCCCCTTTGCGCCGCACTCCTAGGCCGAGCTAGGGATGGGCTTTGTGCTACACTGTGGCTTGGGCTGCTTTTTGTAGCCCAGAGCCACAGCACAGTGCGATGCCCAGCCCCAGCATGGCCCAGGAGTATGGCGCAAGGGGGCTTTTTGGTGCTGTGCGCGACCTGGGGAAGAAAGCCTGATGTAACCAGCAGCTGCCTCGGAAAGGGCCAGGCCGAGCAAGAAGATGGTGAAGATTAGCTGGGGCGGTGGAGGGCAGGGTGGCAGGGGGTCAAAAGGACATAGATGCGGGGGAGATAGGTGGGTGGGTGGAGTTGAAGTGCCCCTATGGTTGTAAGTGCAGACGGGCTGCCTAGCACCCGAACTTTGAGCATGTGACCGTGGGAGCACTGCAACGGCTGTAACTTTGGGGACTGTCATCATTCTTTTCATTCAGCACTGCTGTAACTTTGAACAGTTGCTGAACAAACAGTTGTAAGTCGAGGACTACCTGTACAATGATACAAAGGATTTTAAAGATCAACATTCACCTAAAACCAGAACTTTTCTTGCTGGGATTAATGGACAATTAGAAAAGAGCTACAGAAGATTTTTTTCATACATGATTATTTCTGCAAGACTATTATATACACAAAAATGGAAAGACTCTGAAATAACCATCTCGGAAGATTGGTTGGTGAAGATGGCAGAACCAGCAGAGATGGCAAAATTAGCTTGTTTGATTACAGAAAGTTCAATAACTACATTTACTAGTGACTGGAAACCCCTTACAGACTTTTTTGGTGAAAAAAAAAATTAACTTGTAATTTATGGGTTTGAAAATTAGAAAGGTAGCTTGCAGAAAGAAGGAAATTATGATGTAACAATAGAGAGAGAGGGTAAAATATAAATGTATCTATAACTGGCATCAAGAAGATTGGAAGCCGCTTCTTTAGAATCTTTCCTTTCCTTTCCTTTTTTTCTACTTCTACTTCTATATTTCTTTTTCACTTTATTACTTTCTTTTATTCTTCTTTCATTCAAAATTTGAACTGCTTTTAATTCTGTTGAAAAATTTCTTCAATAAAAATTATTAAAAAAAAAAAGACATATAATTCTGGGATGCAGCCTGATACTCCGAGCACCTAGCAGTTCCTCAAAGAATAGGATGTTTCAAAACTATTCCCCATTTTATGTAATTAATCTAGGAAGTCTCTTGGCACATAAATGGTATGTTAACATTAAAGGCTAATGCAAATGGTCAAGTAGGAATCAAATACAAATTTCCACTAGTCTGTTACCTGTGACAGGGAATATATTTCATCCCTGTATTCAAACATTGGCACAACATCTAACTGTACATGAAGGGATAAAGTATAAAGGGATCATCATCATCATCGTTGTCATCATCATCCAAGGAATAGCTTTCACCTTTAGAAATGGTGGCCAAGATATCTAGAAACATCTCAGGGATAATTCTTTGCTTTGTAGTTGGAATATTCTGTTTATAGAGCTTACATTCTTTTCGTTGTTGCTGTCATTATTACTAAGTGGATGGTTTTGTTGTATAACTTGTTGACTTGGCTTTACAAACTGCATCACATCGGTTTTTTAAAAAACAAAATGCTTGTAAAATCTGTTCCTAAAAGGCAGCATAAAAATGATTTAAGAGATAAGTTGCTGCTCCTTAAGGTTGCTGAACAAATATAATGCGTTGCCAACACTGACAGCATCACAATGCTGCAAACAAATCGGAAAGCTTAAGATAAAGCACTAACGGAGAAAAGTTGGAATACAAAAGAGCAGATCATACATAACTTAGCTCGATGGGATGCTGTGATTTAGAAATAATCATCACTGAACATTTTCCGAGGTGACAGTGTACACTGCTAATAGATCAATAACTAATTTCTTGCCAGAGGAGTTATTTCTTCTTCAGTGAAGTAGCAAGGTTGTTAAATCAGACTCAAACTTAATATATTAACGAAGTTGAGATTAATCTAAACTGCTAAAATGCTCAGTTGCCCTACTTAAGTTTATCTGAACTGATCATTTATTTATTATGCCATAAAAACCCAGACACTTTCCATGCTGATTGCGACTTGTTTGCTCTAAGGCAACTTGAAATTACCCTACTACACTTTTCAGGGTGCCAACTGTTTTCTACTCAAAATTTATCACCTCACAGTAACGATAGGATCAGTCAGCTCTTGTCAGGATTAACAACATATCCAACCAAATGGCACCATTACAATTCCTCTGACAGATTCTTCTGCATATCTGCTAATACTAATACATCTTTCTTTGACATTCATACAATTGGGCTGCAATATATTACTGTAGTTGAGACCAGTGATGTGGACAGCTCTAACAATGGGTAATTTGGATACTCAAATTTCTGCATAGCCCATGAATCTGCTTTGGACCCTACAAACCCCCTGATCCAATCCAATATGAAATTGGTCTTAACTCTTTATGCCATTCCGAAAACCACTATATTCAGGTTACAAACTTCTCCCTGTTCCTTGCCACATTCCTTTTTAGACACAATATGGAAAGTGGAAAAGACTATCAACCACATCACAGTCTTCTGGGCGTATATATGCATTCAGGGAAGATGAGAATTAGGGCTTCTAGCCGTGGTACTTTGATTCCACAGGATACATTACACTTGCATAGAAGCCTAAACAATGTATTGGAAGTCTGTTATCTTTAAGTTACCTCATACTGTTTCCAGGTTAGATTTGGTGTCATATGTCACAGCTGTGAGATTTTTAGTGTACACTGAGTACACAAAATGATAAAAAGTGATTACATTGTTCCCAGGATGGCAGAATCATAATTATGCACCATGCTCACAATTTAATATATAGCTTGATATCCCACAGATAACTGAAACAGCCCAAAGAGAAGCCCATTTTATAAAAGTAATTCAGAACCCAATCTGTAGCCTTTTAAAATTATACTGAAATCGCCCATCTAAAATGCTTTAAAATCTTGCATTTTGCTATTAACCAATAGGGATAGTCTCTCAATGCCAACATTTCTCCCAAAATTCAGATTGAAATGTATAAATCATTGAACTGCTTTTGAAAAATGTTATTCAGTGGTAGAAGATCAATTTCAGAAAAGGACAATACTGTAATAGCCATAGCAAGAGCTGAAATCGAAGCTCTCAGACAAATAGTAGCATTACATTTTGCTGACGGTACTTACGATGTGCAGCTCTAAATAATCACCGAGCCCAGTCGAGCTATCCACACGCACCAAGATGGCTTCTTTCTGAACAGTGCTAAACCCTATTGCCAGTCTATCTGCTCGTGTGCTGGGACGATCATTGGGAGGCCAGGTATATGTAATCTGTCCACCACCTTTGCTAAATATGTATGTTGTTCCCGCTGGAAGAAAGAAAACAAAGTAATTAGTGGTCCAACTCTAAAAAGCAAATGAACTGCTATATACATTAAAGCATTTGGTTTTTAATGTTAATGTCTTTACAAGCCCTTCAAGGATTAGTCTTGCAATTCTCACCCTCCCAGTAACTCCCTCCAATTTTTGCCTGTTTTTATATACAGATATTTTTATATATAGGCTGCAATCCTATACTCATCAACCTGGGAGAATGCCCGGTAGAACTGAGAGGGCATCCTGCTGGGCAAAGTTTCACTCTTAAAGGGTTTAAGGACTTTGATGTTAGCCCTATCTAGGCAAAGAGTTATAGTGTGATGCAACAAGAGCATGTGTACATGTCTTGCCCCCAACATCTCCAGACTTACAAATGTTCATTCAGATCTACAAGGGGCCCGTAAGAGTGTTTGGCTGAACATATTCACCAGCCTCCATACAATCTGAACCCTGCCTTATCAGAGCCTCCAAAAGCAAGAAGATGCATTAAGGACTTTCAAGAGCATGTGAGTATAATCCACTTCCAAAATTTAGCACACCATGCTGGAGTTAGGACTTGTGTAGGAACTCTGGATTTTATCACACTTGTAATCCTTGGTGTGCTGGCTAAATGTACAGTTACTGCTCATAACTGATCATGCCCCACAGTCAACTCGATTACTGGTGTCTTTACAATATCTTACTTTAGTGTTGCCTGTTCAACTGGCACTAATGTTCCTTAAGTCTGGAAGCTCTGAGATCATTTGATTTTCTCTGATTACTTTGCATGTTCAAATTCCTGAGTTCAGTATTCAGGTGAATGATGGGGTGAAGAATAATTCTACTTATAAGCTTGCAATATTACCAGAGTTTCAGAACTGGTTCCCATATGCACATATATTAAATGAAGTCTCATCAGTGGAAAATAAAGATGTGAATCTACTCAAAGATTCTATCTATTTTGAGATAGAAAAAGTAGCTTTAGTCAGTATGGATGCCAAATCGCTTTTTTAAAAAATGCTTTATTGTCTGTAACAGTAGTGCAGTATCTGGCCTGCCTTTGTATTTCCTACTGAATTTGGAAAAAATCATAGAAAATTTCATAGCAACATATGTTCACAATGTCTTACTATATACCATACAGAAGTTTTCTGTGTGTTAGTTCTTAATGATATAAATTATCCAAAAACCAACCTTAATAAAATTACCTTCTTTTCATTGTCTGATATGTAAATTTCCTCAATGAAATTTTTTAAAATGCAAATTCCTCCATGTAAATTTTTTTCAAAGAAAACTATATTGCTATTTGTACACAATTTTCAGGAGGATACTTCTTTTCAGACACTTTTATGTGAATTTTTGATCAAGACAAAACAAACACAAAGAGATTTTATTTGACAATCACATTTGCCCTCCTCTGAAGTCAGTGGGAACAGAATATCTAAATTTGCTTCCAGTGAAATTTGGGGTGGCCTTTTATATTCCTGTGTAAAAGGGATATATGTATGAATAACTCACATTCTAGTCACTACCGTGCACATATAATTTTTTTAAATTATGCAGTTGGAAGAAACAAAAGCACTTCTTTGCTGTCAGGTAATTTCTAATTCTATACAATATATCCAATCAAATATTTATATACTGTAAGTTTAATATGCTAGCTAGGGGTAATGTTGTAATATCCAAGCACCAAACCCTATTCCCTGCCTCTACCCAACTGATCCTGAAAGAATTTATTCTCTTAGGGACTATAAAAGTCCTTTTTTTCCCCCCCTGAGCAAGTAAATAAATCAGAATATAGTTTGAACTAAGTATAGAGGAAGTGCAAATCCAGCGAGGTTCCCCCACAATAATGTAAATGTTTATAATTAACTACAGAAGTATCTGAAGTAATTGAGACAACAAACAGCGGAGCTACCTCCCTTACTGTCTCCCCTCAGGGAAGGAGATGAGAGGTAAAAAAAAGGTTAACATTTAGCCAAGAGTTTGGGAGGATGGGAACTGGTTCATTTTTCTCTGTGATCTACATTGGCCCCCAAAAAAGGAAGCAGGAACATAGCAAGATCCTGCCTAAGGGACAAACTGCACATTATGCAGAATGTACAGCATACAACTATATCTTCACTAGTACTGTGCAAGTCAACTGTTAATGGGACCACAGACAATGAGGAAAGGGAGGTTTATCCCTTGCTGTGACTGGGATGAAATCACCCTTATATCCATACACCCAAGTACACCAGCACAGCTATGAGATTTATTTAGCCCATACTGGTAATTAAAGAAAAATAACACACAGCTGCACACCACACATTCAGCATAACAAGCTGCTCAGACCCATGTTCCCCACAATGAGTTCTTGCCTTGCTTGTTTTTAAATGGAAACCACACAACTGTAAGAGCATACAGTACATTGTTACCCAGCCTGTAAAGTTCTTAGTATTCTTCCATTTTAAAATAATAAGAGAGCCAATGGTAATGTTCAAAGCAAGGGCCATTAAATGCTTAGAATAACACTTTACTGCACAGTTTTCATAGGTACTGAGAACATCCTTAACCACTACTGGCCACTGTGCAGCTGATTTAGCCACACACATTTCTAAACCACACCTTATGTGAGGACATTGGCAGCTTACATATGTATTCTTTGACTGATGGAAGGCATGGATAGCTACATCTAAGACTTGTTTAGCTTTATGACAGACCAAAAGCTCTAGCTTGTTTCTCACTTAACAAATCAGATTCTGGGCCTTCTTATCCTTGTTTGTTACAAGAGATACAAATTCAGACTTGTTGATTTGCACATAATTCTAAATAAAATCACAGATGGTGCTACCTAGAAGGAACCAAGCAGGAGAAATCTTATTCATGAATAAGCCAGAATCCTTTACCATTTTGGCTCACTGTATCACTGTAATTCCCCAAGTGCTTGTTGTTTCGGAATCAACCAGGGAAATCTATCACAACTTTTCATAACTCCATCCGTATATGCAAAGCATGCAGTTTACTGGAAACTTCAAAGGACACTGTATAACAGCAAGTGAAATTTCAGCCTTTCTAGATCAGTTTATTCTACTCTGATTGGTAGAGGATACTGTATTTTCATCACTTGCTAGTATTATAATTACATTTATAATTATTCGGGGACACTAGGAATAAAATTAAATAGTAATGTAAATATTGTACATTTACAATAGTATTCTAAAAATTGCACACTTTATTAAATTTAGCTCAGAATTACAAAATATGAGATGTAATTTAAAAAAGACATTTCACAACTTGTTTGCATGAGCCAGGCCAAACCAGTTAAGTAACATCCTGCCGACAGGAAAGTAAACTCAAAACACACCACCAAGTGTCTTTGGTTAATCATGATGAAAATCAAGTAGAAAGAAAAAGCTGCTTTCACAGGGAAAGAAAACTTTTGGGAAATTTCAGTCAAGCATTCTAAAAGAGCCTAATACTGGGCTACTGCAGCTTTTGTGATGTTTGTTATCATCATCTTTCTAATGCCCAATTCATCTTTTACACAACAGCTGGATTAAAGCCAAATAGCTCTTCTCAGGAAATAGCATGCCACAGTGGCTTATAGCATCCTGGAGGAAAACTTAGCCACAGGTAGTCCTTGCTTACCGACTGCCTCGTTTAGTGACCAAAGTTATGACAGTGTAAAAAAAAAAGAACACCCTTGTCACCAATCCATGCATTTACGACTGTAGCAGCACCATTTGCGTGCTTCCCAGCCAGCTTGCGACAAGCAGAGTTAATGGAGTATCTGGTAGTAAAATTGCAAGTTGCGGTCATGTGATGTTTTGCTTAACAACCACATGACTCACTTAAGGACTGAATGGAAAGTGAGGTCATAAATCCATCACAGTCATGTGATTTTTCTGCTTAGTGACCGTGGCGTGCAGCGATGGAGTTGCCGGTCCCAATTGTGGTCGCTAAGCAAGGACTACCTATATTTGGCTGCAACCTCAAATGAGATTCCATTTTACTATGTTCCACCTTATTAGCAAGGCCAGTCTAAGCATATGCAGCGGCACTGGGTTCCAGAAAAATAGGGATGACTAAAGAGGGCCTCTTGGACTGAAAGGGTTTTGTGTGGTTAGTCACAAGGCAGATTTACCCTGATGAGCTTTTGTAGCTGGCTGGTCTAATGCAACACAACGTTAGCCAATGGATAAATCAAGCCAATGGAGTCATTACCCTAAGCAGGATTTTATTCTGTGATGGTTTTTGTATCTAATACAAAAATTCTAGATGTAACCTTAATTTTTACTTCAGGTTCTGTGGGTATTCATTGTAAAGACGTAATTTTAAACATCCCATTTTGCAGGAATCTGAAATATTAATCTAGAGCTATGCGAGGGATCCAAACCTGGTATTGCATTGGGTTCCCAAACTCCTTATACTGGCCCTACTTATGAGACTAGATGTCAACTGTGGAATAAGAAATTATTTATTACATATTCCAGCACTAATCTTTTTGATTCTGGTAAGTCACTTGAGGACAGCAGGTAAAAAAACTTGGAGATATAGATACTGGCTGTCATGTAAGTTAAGTCTCCCTCCTGTCTGTCGAATGCCAAGAGCTCTTTTTCCGAAGTGTCATAACAAGTGAACTATAGGTTCCTTGCCTCCATTATGAACATCACTGCAAAATCAATTTGGGTAACTCATTTGGCAGCCAAGCTGTTTATCTTAATTCACTTAAGAGCCTAAAATCAGAAGGAATCTGATAGTATCTTTTCTGACTAACAAATTTTATTAAAAGGCATAAGCATTTGTGAGCTATAAGTCACTTCATCAGATGAATGAATGGTTAAACTGATGTAGGATCTCAATTGGGCTAAGGAATTGTTTTTCCCCCTCCATCTACCCTGTGCCTCTTTTAAATTCTTAATTTGCTGTTTTAAATTCTGAGGTGAAATGAATTATTTCAAATGTGACATGAATAATCCATTTTGACTACATAGTCATTTCTTGACCCTCTTCAGAATGGCAAATTGCCAAT